CTAAAAAAAAAAAAAGAAATCAGAAAAATGTAAAAAAAAAAAAGTAAAGATCACCTGAAATTGACTTCCCCCAGCAAAGATAACCATGGTTAATTAACGTGGTTAATTAACCATGGATGTGTTATTATTAAAGGATGTGTTTATTATTAAAGTATTATTAAAATATTATTATTATTGAATGTGTTATTATTAAAAGAAAGGTCTGGTCCCTGCCCTATGGGCCCTTGTGGTCTAACCTCCTACCCAAATGTGACTGACACCCTCACACCAAATGCAGCCAAGCAGCAACATGTTAGGCTGGATGGGCCAAGAGTGGCAACCGCCACATTCCTGGGGGAAATCAGGGAGGGCAGCATGGAGGAGGTGATCCGGGAATTGGATCTCAAAGGCTGAGGTCCTGTGAGTTTGTCTTGCTGTCTTTTTTCCTCCCACCTCCCTTTGTTCAGTGCCTCTTTAGGATAAGACCAGCTCCCAGCCCCCATCCCACATGTGGCTGAGAAGGTGACACACTCTAGATGAGGCAAGTGGAGGGGGCCTACTCTGTGTGAGGAGCAAAGCAGCAGAGCATCCATGAGGCACAACTCCTGAGTATGTGTCATTCCACCATAGCCATTCCATTTGTGCAGTGCACAGCCTGTGGGGCCATACATGGTAGTCATGTAAGGAGAGTCCCTCCACCCCTACTTTAGTCCATGGCCTGGTTCCCACATTGGAGCAAGAGAAGAAACAGGGGCACTTGTTCCACCCTCCCTGGGTCTGTGTCCCCTTCCAGATAGCAGCGACAGTGAGCTGGAGCTGTCCACAGTGCGCCACCAGCCGGAGGGACTGGACCAGCTGCAGGCACAGACCAAGTTCACCAAGAAGGAGCTACAGTCCCTCTACAGGGGCTTCAAGAACGTGAGTGCTACCCATCCCTCCGGGAGAGGCCCTGACCAACCTAGCCCTCCTGTCCCAGGCTCTAGGAAGGCGGGACCCTGGCCCAGAGAGACCTTCTAGAAACTTCTCCATGGCATAGCAAATATCCCAGGGGCCTTTATGGGTCTTATGTTTTGTGGGAGAGCTGTCTAGGGTTGGTCAGGTCGCAGAATCAGTATTCTGAAGGCACCATCCTTTCTATGTGTTCCCAATGCTGGCACAAGGGAGGAGCGAATGGAGGGACTTACCTCTTACCCCTCCTGCATCACCCTGCCCCACCGCCAGGCTTTCCCCAGCTCGGGGGCTCAGTAGAGCCAGCAGTATCTCAGGCAGCAGTATCCCCAGAGGGAGGAGAGAGGCCAGGCCCTGTGGAGTTGGGGTGTGGGGCTGGGGATGACTGAGGTCACTGAAGGGTGACTTCCTGCTGCAGGAGTGTCCCACGGGCCTGGTGGATGAAGACACCTTCAAACTCATTTACTCCCAGTTCTTCCCTCAGGGAGGTGAGTCTGAGGCCAGGCCCCCTGGCTCTTCCCCAAATGCCCACGTCCCCACTGTGGCAGCTCTACAAACAGTGGGTGTCACTTTGACGGGGAGGGGATCCTTGCCTCCACCCTTTGCCTGCCAGAGGCCTGGTGCTGCCTCTGTCCTGTTGGAAGGGCGGGGAACTCCAGCTCTGGGTGCAGCTGGACCCTGCAGCGGCGCTGCCTGGGCTGGGAGCCCCAACACCTCCCAGCGCTCACCCTTGCTCTCCCCAGATGCCACCACTTATGCACACTTCCTCTTCAACGCCTTTGACGCCGATGGGAATGGGGCCATCCGCTTTGAGGTAGGTCCCCGATGACCCCTCCCACATCCCCTGCCCCTGTAGCCCCCCCCCCGGGGGGGTCTCCCTGCCCTGGTGTCTCTCTCGGGCCTTCCGGAGGCCCAGACACAATCCTGGGTGTAGATGGTCCAGTGTGTCCTCCAGGGAAGGAGCGGACTGTGCTCGGCTGGCCCTGCGCCTATGAAGTTAGGGAAATGTGATGTGGCCATGTGGCCACCCTCTTCTCACTCAGCCTTTTCTTCCATTCCAGCCACACCAAGCCAAGAGAGCTGCTAAGGTACACTGAGGCCGTAGGAACCCCATGTGAAATTGCATTTGAAAAGGGGGCAAGGCTTCACCCAGGGGTCTGTGCTCCTGGCAGGATTTCAGGCACCCAGCCCCAGAATTTATCCCTAGCCTGAGCGGGCGCGGCGAGTGAAGCGTGGGGTGCCCGCCTCCGACACCTGCCCCCTAGGTGGGCCGTGCCTGGGCTCCGTGGGCTGGCCCAGCTGTGGGCTCCACGCCGGCTGGCCACATAGGACCATTTGAGAGAGGCCCCGTCTGTGGAGCCCAGGCCCCTAAAAATAGCTGCAGGCGAAAAGCTGAAACCTCTTTGGAGAGGAGAACCTTGCTGAGAGCCTGGCCTGATCGATAACCACCCTGCTCGGCTTCCAGCGCCAAGGGCAGCTGACAGGAAAGCGGACGAACAAGCCGGCCGGGCTCAGAAAGCCCCGGACGCGCCGGGGTGTAATAATAACCCGTGGGTAATGCCGCTCAGTTGATTTGTGTGCCGCAGCCGGCCTGCACGGTGACACAGGGCAGAGCGGGGGGTGGGGAGGCCATCGAGGCCACAGCCTTGCCCGGTGACCACAGGGGCCCCGCCCGCCCCGGGCTGCAGGCTCGGGCTGGTGCTCTGGAAGCACAGTGTCGTCGTCTGTCCTGTCTTCAGTGATACCTGCACGCGGTAAAACCCCAAGCACCACAGAGGCTGACAGGAAAAATTGATCGTCCTCCCCTGTGACCAGGCTCTTGTGTATCCTTGAGGGGGCACCTAAGATTTCCAGGACTAAAGGGTGAGGAGGAATCATGTGAGGGACCCAACCAGGGCTCTGTGAGAGACTTTCTCTTGTTCAGAAATCAGCTGATGGGACAGCTCACCAGGGTCCCGGTGCACGGTGGGTGTCAGGAGGGTCTCTGTCACCCTCCTGTGGTCTTTGCTGTCACTCCCCTGAGGGAGGGGTCTGGTGGTCCCTTTAAGGTGGTAGGTGGCAGGTCTTTGTGGGGTGTTCTGTCAATGGCTGAGTTGGGGGCGCTGGTGCCGAAGCCCCTCTGCTAGGCGCCTGCTCAGAAGGTCGGGCATCTCTGGCATCGTCCCAGGCCTTCTGCGGGCTTCTTTGCCATGAAATCAGCTCCTCTAGTTCCATATGCATATGTTTGTTTATCTTGAGGACCTACTTGATTTCAGTGTTCTGCTGTAGGAGAGCTTTTTCAGAAAGAGAGGAGGGCACGTATGTCCCCAGGGACCTTCCAGGCAGCAGGGCCCAATCCTGGGTGCACCACGGGTTGGGATCCCCATGGCAGGAAGGACTCCAAGGGGTGAGGGTGACTCTTGGCCCGCCTGAGACGGACTCTTCCCATGTGCCCTTAAAACAGAAAGTCAGGTCAGCTTACTGATATTGATAATGATCCCAATCCTTGTTGTATATTCTTGAGAGACAAGATACATATTAATTAAAGTTTTTTGATGTGGTAAAATATTGTAACTTCCCTAACCCTCACCAAAAAGAGTACCAGAAAACAAAACAGCACCCAAGCCAACCTCATCTTTGCCAAGCGGGAGCAGCCGTCCCACCTCAGGGTCTGCCTGCTGCGCTGTTCGTCTTGGGTCGTCTGGGATGTGCCCACAGGAGGGAGCCTGGTCTCAGCACCCCGAGACCGGCCCAGGCCCAGGCCCAGGCCCAGGCCCAGGCCCAGGCCCAGGCCCAGGCCCAGGCCATGTGCCTGCAGATAGATGCACCAGAACCCTGCATGCCATCCGGGGCCTTTCTCATTCAACCTACTCGCTGTGCCAGCACGCTGCTGCTCTTTTGGAGCGTTAGGGCTGGTTGTATGTCTGGAGGAAGGGGCAGCTGCCTCTCCCTGAACTCCCTCTGCAGCCCCCTCTCTGTGTCATTCATTGGCCAAACCCCAAGTGAGGGCAGTAACTGGAGAGAACGCGTGCAGGCCCACCATCATGCTCCCCCGCTCTGGCTGAGCGCCTGCCCCCGGTGTGCACTCAGCGGTGTCTCAGCCCGGGAGCGCAGGCCTGCGTCACCGTGCCACGGCAGGGCCTCTCATGCTCCCCGGGCTCTGCCTCAGGGACACAGCCGCAGAGCAGGGGCTGTGGAGGCGATGGACTTCATTTGCCTCGGAGTTAAGATCAGGGGTTACAGCTAGGGACAGTCGCACATGAAACTGTGCTGTGTGGGGCTGGAAATTTAGAACTGCCAAGTACTCGGACATGTGTTGGCAGGACATGGGGTCCTCTGTGGGTTATGGAGGATGGGCCAGTGGCCTCGCAGGGGACATTCCCACCCATCTCTGGCCAAGTACCATCACCACTGTTCTACGTACACACTTAGGGACACAGAATGGAGACATTCCTCGGTTGGTTCTGGCTGACTTCGAGGGCTGCGAGGCGGCAGGCCTGGGTCTCTGAAGACAAGATAGTGGGGGGGGCGGAGTGTGGTGCTGGCGCCCCCCACCATGGCCCACATGAGAAGGGAGGCCCTGTGTGGGCCTCACCATTTCCTGCAGCCTCGAGTGGGACTGCACGCCTTTGCCTCCCACTGGGAAAGCCTGTCAGATCCCAGGGACGTGATTTCGGGGAGGCTCTACCTGTTCGCTAAATCACGCACAAGCTTCAGTGATGATTCCCCAAACTTGGGCGTGTAGGAACTATCACCTGTTTCTCCTTTAACATTTTCGTTTTCTTCACTGACACATGCACGGCGCACTTTGTGAGCCCCGTAGTGACAGGGTGTGCTTTGGAAAAGCAGCCGTGAAGCACCCACACACCCAAGGAGGCCGCCACCTTCTGCTGTAGCCCGTTGCCACTGTTTCTTCCGTGTCCCCAGTAGCACACGTGGTGCTCCTTCCCGGCTGCCCGGTTCTAGACTACTGGCTGTCCGCTGGGGTGGGGGGGCAAGGAGCTGGGTCTCCCACGGGCCCACACACCTTTCCCATATCCCCTGGCTTTCTGGAACAATAGGATTCAGGTGAGACAAGGACTGTGGTTTACTCTGATGGCGTGACTTTGATGCCCAGCTGAGCCTTCTGGTGAACTGATTATGTTTTCCTTTCCCAGCACACATTCTTATTTTGCCGCCAGTTAACGGTGGTCCTGATTGTTGAGTTGCCTGGGGGCTGTGATCTCATCATGAATTCAACTCCAGGCCTTTCTCCAGTGCCCGGACAGGCATCTCCATGGGGACGCTCCCCAGCTTCTTTCCCCCCAGGGTTGGGTCTCCTGGTTCCAGAATTCCTCATCTTCCTCTTCTTTGCTTTATTCTCCCTTTTCAGGGGTACAGCTATGAGCAGGGAGGTAACTTTTGAGGCTTTAGATGTCTGGAAGCATCTTCATTGCGGTCCTGCTCTCGCCTGATCCACTGGATGGGATCAGAGCTGCACTTCCCAGTGGTCGTGGCTGCACTTCGGTGGCTTTTGGCCTCGCGTCGCCGCCAGAGGCAAAGCATGCGGAATCCTGACCCTGTGTGCGGGGCCTGATTTCGTTTGTTCTGTTTGGTTGTGTTTTTCTCTCTCTGGAAGCTTGTAGGATCCTCTTTTTGCACCTGGTGCTTGCAGGCAACACAGTGGGCCGTTCGTGCGCTGTGCTTGGCCTCGGCAGGACCTGGACGCTCCCAGCCTTCCATCCTGGGAAGTCCTTCCTTGCTTCTCCAGCCTGCTTTCCTCCATCTCCTCCGGTTCCCCCTGGAATTCCTGGTGCGCGAGCCGTGGTTCCTCTGGAGTGGACCTCTCGTTACCCTCTTTTCTCTTTTCCAGCTTTTTGCCTTTTCACACGACCTTATGGAAGATTCCACGTGCTCTTCCAAACCTTCTTTTGAATCTGTCATTTTGCTTTCTTATTTTTAATTCCCAAGAGCTCTTTCTTATTCTCAATGACTCCCCTTTTGTAGCATCCTATTCTTATTTTGGGGGTGACAGATGTCTAATCTCTAGTTCTAGTCATTTTTGTTAAGTTTTTTCCTCCTGGAATAAGTTTTGTTTCTTCCAGACTGCTTCCCTGTTTCCCTTAGCCTCTCTCAGGTACAGGCCTCCTCAGATCCAGAAAATCTGATGTTCGAGGGGCAGCCAAACCCCTTGGTGCACAGCCTAGCCCCCTGTAGTTTGTCGTCCTCCACTCCCTGTCCCAGGACAGCCCTGCTCTGCTCCCTTCTTTCAGAAGAACCTGGGAGGACCCCATGGGGCAGGGAAGGCTCACCCTGCAAGCCTTCCAGGAAATGGAAGAAAGGGCTGGCTTTCCACCAACTGTTAGAGCAGTTGGAGTTTTCACAGGGAAGCCGCTGGAACATTCATGTCTTGTAACATTATAATAAATTATCTGCACACCTCAGAAATGATTGCAGCACACAGGCGTGTCGTGACCCCAGAGCTGAGCACTGTTAGTTTAGCTTTTAAGCTATAAGTTTTCGAGCACCTGACATGCAGATCCTTGGTGAACTAAAAGGAGAGCACCCCCCCCTTTATTAAAAGAGCACCCTGGGTCTTCTCTATCAGTAGTCATGTATTAAATGGGTCTAAGACAGCATGTATTTGAATATCTTTATTTGAGAAGATCAGTACCAGCCACCATGCCATACACACACACACACATGCTCGCACGCGCACGCACGCACGCACATGCACACATGCTCACACTTGTGCACATGGTCATGCGCACACATGCTCACACGCATGCACATGCTCACATGCATGCACATGCTCGCAAACGCACGCACATACATGCTGACATACCGTGCACATGCTCACGCACACACACATGCTCACACACTCGTGCACATGCTCACGCACACGCTCACATGCACACATACTCGTGCACATGCTCACACATGCATGCACACACATGCTCACACACTCATGCAGATGCTCACACACGCACGCACACACATGCTCATGCTCACACACACGCGCACGCACGCACGCACATGCATACCCTCACACTGTGTTGACCTAACGGACAGCATCTGCTGGCACAGCAATGAAGCCTCCTCACCTGTAGAGGTGTGAAGCCGCACAGCAAACTGGAAATGAAATCTGGGCGTTGGGCTGTCACTCCTCACCCTCCCCTCCCTCTGTAGGACTTTGTGGTCGGCCTCTCCATCCTCCTGCGAGGAACAGTCCACGAGAAGCTCAAGTGGGCCTTTAACCTCTACGACATCAACAAGGACGGCTACATCACCAAAGAGGTACCCCACCAAAGAGGGGTGGGGGGAGGGCTGCCCGGCCCCCTCCCCCGCTGCTGCGCCATACTCCCAGCCTCTCTCCTCTGCTCCCCTGCTGCCCTGGCTGCCCTGTCTCCCTTTCCTGCTCAGAGACCTGGCTCTCAGCTCCACCCCGGAGGGGACAGCAGCCTGGGGGCTCTCCCCCTGTCCAGGCTCTTGGTCCTGGACACCTGGGTGCAGGGAGCATGGTGCTTGTTGTGTGCTCCTCACCACGCAGCTTGATCTAGTTCGACAAATGTTCTTGGGCCATTCTTTCTCACAGGGAGGTCCTGAGGGAGACCCAGGTGGAGAAGCTGGGGACAGAGGGTAGGAGGAGTTGGCCTTGGCTCCCACCAACCAAGGGGGCAGGGTGCTCCCTGGGGGCAGGCGGGGGCCCTCGCCATACTGGCCTACAGTTAGGTTTTGTTTAGCCCAAACGTTGTTTTGTATATGAAATAGTCGCTACAGTTTCACATTTTGGAGAGGGCACATCAGAAGCGATCTCCAGCTTCTGGCGAGTCAGAGGCTGGTGCTGAGTGCACTAGATGGGGGTGAGCTCGTCCCCGTCCAGCTGGGGCGCCACCCCTGCTCACTCACTGCTGCCTTGGAGGTGCCCTCCCTGCTTCGATGCAGCCCCTCCCCTTGGGCCCTGGTACGTCCCACGTCCTTGCAGCAAAGCTCACGCCAGCCACTCCGGCCCCCCTCCAGGAGATGCTGGCCATTATGAAGTCCATCTATGACATGATGGGCCGCCACACCTACCCTATCCTGCGGGAGGACGCGCCTCTGGAGCATGTGGAGAGGTTCTTCCAGGTGAGAGCTCTAGCCCCGGACCCTGAGGGGAAGGAGGGATGGGCTCCCCCTCTTAGGACAACCCTGGGCAAGTGACTCCCCTCTCTGAGCCCTCCTCCCCCCATGAGGAGGTTAACCTTGCATCCCCCACTGGGCTGGTTGTCAGGATCCTGGGGAGCAAATTAAACCATCACCCCCACTCCCCGATCCACTGAGCCTTATCTCAGGGCAGGCCAGGGCTTGTGAATTCCAGGGCAGTTGACACCCCAGGCCAGCGTTCTGGTGCCTTCCAAGAGCTCTCTCAGCCCCTCCAGAAAAACCGTGCAAGAGGAGTGGGGTTGGGGTGACCTTGCTCTGTGTCCACGAGGCCGAAAGGGGCTGAAGTTTCCACCTTCCATTTGCTGGCGGCCCATCCTGTGCCTTGGTTGCTCCATCTGCCCTAGCTGCCTGTCGGGGAGGTGAGGGGGTCAGATGAGCATGGGGATGCATTCTGGGAAGTGTAAGCCCAAGAAAGCTGCTGGGCAGTGGCTGGGTGTGGGGAGCAGACCGGGGAGGTGCCAGAGAGGTCAGCTGTGCCACAGAGGTAGCCGGGGAGGGCCCTTTACATGGCCTGGATCCAGGGTAGAGGACAGAGGGGACAGGTTGGGATGGAGGGGACCCACAGACTCACTGAGGACATGGCTTGGGTTACAGAAAATGGACCGGAATCAGGACGGGGTGGTGACCATTGATGAGTTCCTGGAGACCTGTCAGAAGGTAGGTGGGCATCAGGAGTTGAGGACACCCAGGGTCCTGCCCCTGCCAGTCCCCGAGCCCCTCCCGACCTCCAAACTCCATGTTCACACCTTCGTCTGAACCCATCCCTTTGCCACCTGCTCCTGCCAGCCTACAGCCCACAGGCACACCATCCTTCAGATGCCCTCTAATGCTTCACATCAGAGGGGCAGACGTGGGCCAACAGGAGGATGGTTGGGCCCTGGGGCCCTCAGCGTGGGGCCACACTGTGAGAAAGGCGCCTGGAGCCTCCCCCAGCCTTGCTGTTGACCTTCCTCTTCAGAGCACCCTTGGGGGCCGTGACATGTGCCTCCACTGGGCTTAGCCATCTGCATCAGTCCCAGAGCGGCCTCTCGGGTGCCTCTGGCCTCCATCTGAGTGCAGCCAGGGAAGTTTGTCCATCAGCAAGTCAGCAGCCCCCAGATGCGCTTGCAGTCAGGCTCCAGGGCTGAAGAGAGCCTGTGCCTGACCAGCTACCCCTTCACCCGGGGAGACAGACAGAGGGGTCACTGCAGGGTTCCAAGTCCCTGGCAAGGATCTGCTCAAGGTAGGATCAGTTTGGGCATGGCCCCGCCCTGCCCACCCGGGGTCTGACCAGGCGTCTCCTCCTTCTCTCTCCACACAGGATGAGAACATCATGAGCTCCATGCAGCTGTTTGAGAACGTCATCTAGGACATGTTAGTGGGGAGGGGTCCTTGAGTGGCCACCACCACCTCTGCCCCCAGAGAAATCTCAATCCTGCAGGAGCAGCCTCCATGAGAAACTTTTTTTCTAATATATTTGCAAAAAGCGAACAGTTTGCTCTAGACACACACACACACATACACACACACACACACACACACAGAGCCCATTCCTTTGGGCTGGTAGAGGGGGTGCAGAGGTCAGGGAGGGGCTGAGTCCGGCTGGGAGCTGGATCCAGGCGATGAGAGCTATACTACCCGGCCAGCCCCCGACCAGCTCCCGGCCAGCAGTGGAGTGGGGCTGCCTCTGGAGTGGGTGCTGAAAGAGCCGTGTGTGCAGGCTGCTGGCCATGGGGTGCTGCCAGGAAAGCGCTCGAGATCCCCTACAGGAGAGGGTCCAGTCTCCAAAACAAAGGCCCCGCTGGTGTGAGTCCCCTCGCCCCTCCCTCCCGCCACCCTTCTTTCCCACCACACATGGGCCAGGTTGTGGGGGCTGCTCTGGCCTTCTTGTCCCCCAGCTACTCCCCTGCCACCCAACTTCACTCCCAGAAAGCTCGTCACCACAGGACACTTGTGGGGCAGTGGGATCAAGAGAGTTTGGACAAGGAAAGAGGTAGTAATGGAGACAGCCTGCTGTTTCCTGGAAACACTTCCCTGGGGTCCCAGGATGCCTGCCACTCCATTGGCAAGCTCCGGTGGTAAGGGACCACTGGACTCTCTCCATCCTTTCAAGCTCAGGGATTGGGTTTCTTGGTGGAGAATCTTAGGGGAACTGTCTGCCAAGTCCACTGAAATGGAAGAAGCCTTACCTTGCCTCAGTCCTAGCTCAGTGGGAATGAAGTAGGTGGGGCTGCCCATACCCCTCTGGCCTAGAGCGTTCAACCCCAAGGTCATAATAGGTTCTAAGAAGAGGTCACAAGGATCAGGGACTGGCAGCCTGGGAGCCCAGATGGCAGAGCAGGCCTGAGAAGGGGCTTTTCCCTCCTTTCTTGTCAGCTCCTGTCTCCCTTGGCCCCCAGCTTGGATGAGCTCCCCCCCACCACTTTCTGGTTAAGGTCCTAGAGCAATGTGGCCATCCCTCTATACACAGGCTCACCCAACCCCATACAAAAAGCACAAGCACCCAGAGCAGCTCAGGTTGCAGCTCACAAAGGGAGCCAAGGACACTGTTTTTCCAAGATCGGGCCCTCCTAGAGGGCTGAGGCCTGGGTCACGGTGGCCCCCAATAGAGGGAGCTCTGGAGAAGAAGCATGGGGATCCGTTCTGTGCCTCAGAGCCATGTGGGCTCAAAGCCCATCCCCAGCCCAGCCCAGCTCACCAACATTCAAAAGCACAAATCGTAGGGCTTCCCCTTGTCTGGGTTCTGCTCTGGGATGGAGGCTGAGGTCAGCCTGAAGGCAGAGCCAAGAGTGAGGGCTGAGGGGCCTGAGGCTGAGTGGTAGGTCAACAGAAACCCCTAGGAAAGAGAGAGAGGCTGCTCTTATCTGCCCAGGCCTCCCCAAGAAGGAACCCAGTCCCAGGTAGCGTGGGCCTGAGGAACATTCCCATACAATACATTCCACCGGCTGCCACCCCCTCTCTGCTCAGGCCTGGCCCAGGGGTGAGCAGGGCCCTCAAAGGAAAGGGGGAATGGCGGAGGCCGTGGAGATTGGCCTGGTTTGGCCATGGGGACCCGTTGGCACCCACACACAGGTGGTCCTCTCCCTCGGAATTGTACTGACACCCCATCTCCAGTTTGACTGGGGGGGCGGGTCTTTCTTCCCTCCTCCAGGAGGGCATCAGCTTTCCCTGGCTCAGGGATCTTCTCCCCCTCTGCCCACCCCCAGCCCAAGCCCAGCCCTCCCAGCTGGCGTAGCTGTGCTTCTGAGGGGCCAAAGCCATAGGAGAGGGTCACCACCATGCCCTGCCCCTCTTGGCCTGGGGCCAGACTGGTTGCACGTCAAGCAGGAGGGGTCTGTCTCCCACCCTGGGATGCAGACTGGCCGCATGTCTGCATGGCAGAAGCGTCTCCCTTGGGTGCAGCTTGGGAGGGTGGTTCCTGTTCTCAGCGCCCACCAATATTCAGTCCTGTATATTTTAATAAAATAAACTTGGCAAAGAAGAGGGACTCTTGTTGGCTTTATCCCAACTCTGGATTTCAGCCCAGCCCCTCCCATCCCTGCTGCTGTTAGCCATGGCTCCTGCCCAGGGCTGTGCTGGTAAATGTTTGACATTCCCTGAATTGTAGCATTTGCCAATGTCCACGCTCACTGGCACTCGCTCCGCTCCGCTCGCTTGCAGGCTCCCGCTGTGATGTCACTGAAGGTGGAGCCGGGAAGGGAGGCCCGCCGTTGGGAAGCCTTTACTAGAAGCTCCAGGCCCGCAGCCTCTGCAGAGCTGGTGGGGCAGGGTGACTTCTTGTATTTGTATTTCATTCCCAGACCATTTTTCTTTTCCAGTTCCAAGAAGTCGTTTCTGCCGTGTCCCCTTGACTGGAGGGTGCAGGTTACAGGGCAGAAGCAGAATCGGCCTGAAGATAGCTTCCTCTCCTGGCTTTATTTTCAAAAGTGTAAACTCGGTGAGAATGATGCCAGGGGCGCAGCAAAAAGTGAGAACCTGGCAGGGAGGAGAGGAAGGGCTTTCCCCAACTCAAGGATGGGGAGGAGGGAGGTTCTGGGGGGATCTGCAGTGCTTTAAGGACCAGACCCCACGCCATGTGACATCACCTCCACAGTGAACACAGACCCACGCCTCCATGAGTCACCAGGTTTGGCTGATGGCCATCACAGCAGTAGTTGGGAGGACAGATGACAGGAACCCACTTCCACCCCCACACACTCCAAAGACCCCTCTCCACCTGAGCCCCAGGGCCTTGGCACAGTCCAGGTAATGAAGCCCTGATCTTGCTGTCTCGGATGGGATATCCTGCATTTGCCATGGGCTGACCACCATGCTGAGCATGTTTACTCTGGTCACAGCCTAAAGGGCACAGATGGGGAAGCTGGGTTAAAAGATCTTGGGACCTCCCAGTCATTGAAGAATGGAGCTAAGCTGGTGGCTCTAGGCTGGGTGTAAGCACTGACTCACTTCATGACGGTCTACAGAGCTCAGAGTGGGGAATGCTCATCCATCCATCATCCCTCCTCCCTCCATCTATCCATCATCCATCCTCCTTCCAACCATCCATCCATCCATGCATCCATGCATCCATCATCCATCCATTTATACTTCTGTTTTCCACTCATTCACTTGGCACCTTCCTGACCTGGACACTCAGTGCAGAGGAGGTGCGCAGGGTATGGTATGCCTTCTGTGTGGCTGGGTGGCAGTGATGGGTCCAAAGGAGCCCTGGGTTCAGGGACAGGAGACATTAGTCCTGACCATAAAACGTATGTGGCCTTGGACAAGTCCCATCCTCTCTTGCTCTCTGGATGTTGGTGTAGAAGAGAAGGAGGGAACACTTCCCAACTCATTTTAAAGAGTGGTATTACCAGGAGTTTTAAAAAAATCAGTCACGGGTAGGATAAGAAGGAAAAATTACAGGATATTCTCCACTATAAAACAAAGATGTAAAAAAAATCAGAGTATCAGTAAACTCATTTCAACAATGTATGTTATATGTACATGATATATGTAATATATCATGACAGATTTGGCTTTATCCCAGAAATGCAAGGTTTACCATTTAAAAATATAGGCACCTCAGTTTCCAATAACATGGAGTGTCTAGGTAACTGGATTATTCCTTCCACTGAAAACAACTAAAAATCTAGAATAAATAACTTCTTAGAAACATCATTGAACTGACCAAAAGGTAAAGCATTCTTGGGCCAGGAACTGAGTGGATGTTTCCACATTCAGAGATGTAAGCAGAGCCCTGAAAGGACTTTTTGAAACAGGTGAGCTTGGCTGAGCTTTGGTTTCGCATCCTTCCAAAATCTAAGGTATAAGAGGTCAAGCCCAGGATCCACCCAGGTGAGAAGTCTATCAAGAAATCCTTCCTCCACAGAACTGGAGCCCCAATTACCCCCTTGGAGATAATGAGCGTGAAATAGAAACAAACCCAGCTGTTTCCACTTTCTCTCCCAGGAGGCTGCAAGAAAAATTGACTATCTCAAGCCCCCAGTAAAACTGGGAAAATTCACCCCTAAAATGAGAAAGCATGAGGGGCACCTGGGTGGCTCAGTCAGTTGAACATCTGACTCTTGATTTCGGCTCAGGTCGTGATCTTGGGGTCCTGGGATCGAGCTCAGCAGGGAGTCTGCTTGAGATTCTCTCTCTCCCTCTCTCTCTGCCCCCACCCTGCACGTGCGCATGTTCTCTCTCTCTAAAATAAATAAATAAACCTTCAAAAATATTAGGAAGCATGAGCTAAACTTTATGAGTTTGCAGCCCAAATCCACAAGAAAATATGATGGAGAATTTAATTGGTAGTGATCTCTGTAAAGTCGAAGGAAAATGAGCAGATTTCAGTCAACAATGACTGAGTATTCAAAGAAACACGACACCGTAAGTGAGGTTTAGCAGAAACACCAGGCTGCATCAACAGACCCAGAGGGCTCCCGATAATGGAATTACCAGACAAAACTATAAATGACTATATTTGTTTATAGAAATAAAAGGCAAACTTGAAAATGCATGTTGAAAACACTATACTGAATGCCTAAGCATATCTGAAAAAAGAATCAAAACTTCTGGGGGGAAAAAGTATATATATATATATATATATATATAGTGACTAAATTTAAAACTCAAGGAATGGGTTTAGCAGTAAATCAGGCCCAGCTGACAAGATCATTGACTTGGAAATCAATCTAAAGAAATTATTCAAATTCTAACTCAGAGAAATAAAGAAATAGAAACTATATAGAGGTAAATAAACATAGAAAATAGTGAGAAAGTAAACCTTAAATCTCAATGGAGTCCTGAAAAAAAAAAAAAAAAACGGGAATGGCCAAGAAGTTCCAAGCTTGACTTAACACTGTTTTTGTCATGGTTCTCCTGGCCAAAGGGGATGGGTGTTAAGGAATCGGCTCACGTGATTGTGAGGACTGGCAAGTCTGAAATATGCAGGGCAGGGTGGCAGGCTGGAAACTCAGGCAAGAGTTAAAGTTACAATCTTGAGTCCAAAATTCACAGGGCCTGCCAGCAGGGTAGAACCTGGGGCAAAACTTCTGTGGCAGTCTTGCAGTGGATTCCTTCTTCTTCCAGGAAACCTAAGTTTTTGCTCTTAAGGCCTTCAACTGATGGAATAGGCCCACCCACATTCTGGTGGGTAACCTGCTTTACTTAAAGTCTGCTGATTCTAACTAGTAATGGTAAGCACATCACAAGATACCTTCACAGAGACATTTAGACTGGTGTTGGGCACCATAGTTTGGACAAGCCTGAGGGGCACCTGAACACAGAAGATTAATCACTACAGACACCAATACACTGATTTAAGAAATTCAAACAAGTCCCAAGCAGGCTAAATAAAAGGAGACTGTCACCTAAGACATAGTATACTGAAACCGCAGAACACCAGAAACAAAGATCACCAAGCCAGCCAGAGAGGAAAGAGCAACGGACTGACAAATGACATCTCATTGGTAACAATGATGCTAAAAGACAGTGGGTTATCTTCAGGTTGTTCAAAATAACTGCCAACCTGGAACTGTAGCCTGGGCAACATAAAAATGTTTTCAGACAAACATAACTTGAGAGAGTTTGCCATCAATAAACACTGAAGAAAATTCTGAGAGTTTTATTTCATCTCAAGGTCTGAGGTGCAAGAAGCATGAAGAGCCCAGAGAGCAGGAAACTTTAAGCCCCTTCCCCTGCTCCGGGCACTGGTTCTGTGAAACTTGGCTGCTCGCTGACTATACTTTCCTAGCGTGTGCAGTGTGTCCTCCTGCTACCAAACCCCTTTCCCGCTGGACAGCACACTCTCACTGTCTCCAGAGGTCTGAAGAACGCTCTTCCTGCTGGGTATCAGCAGCCTATGGATTGACTGCCACCGGACAGGTGTCGGGGCTGGTCCGGTCAGCTATGTGGACCAGGATGAAGTGACTCGCCCCCCAGTAATCAACAGAAGTCTGGACTAGAGGGGGTGGAGCTGCCCAAGGTGGTGGGGGTGCTGGAGGTTGAGGGAGGCTTCTTAAGGGAAATCTGCTCCTCTCTACCCCGCCTGAGGGTAGAGAAGACCTGTGTCCTTACACAGCTCCATAACCTCTAGACATGCTACACCTCTAAGGCCCTGTGACATTTAGGGCATAGGGCCCATGCTTTGGTTCTGGAGCTTTCTGTTTCATCCTAAGCACATCAGTTTACCTTGCTGAGCCTCAGTTTCCACACCGTAAAATGAGCCAAAAAATAACCCTCTGATAGAATTGTTACGATGATTAAATATGAATATTTACTAGCCTCTTGATAAATATGAACATCCTTCCTTCTTACCCCGCTGAAATTTTCATATGTTTTCTCCCCTTTCTATAGAAGGGTGGCTCATATCAATAAGCTGCCAGAGAAAGGACAGATGTTTCAAAAGGAGTTTCCAGGTATTGGATATAAACCTGTGATGGTTCCCAGTTTCCCTGGTAACTTCCAAAGCCTATTCGGGGAGCAGGTGGCTAAGGAGGAGCAATCTGTGCCATCAGGCCACATCAGGCAACCTGCTGTCCACGTGCCCCATCCTCCTGCCACCACTCACTGCGTGGTCACACTGACCTGCCCCAGACAGGAGAGAGGGCCCAGCGCAAGCGCAGAGGGTCCTGTGGCCAGGCTCGTCTCATTCACTCTCATGGGCCTACCCAGGAGGCCCCTCCTTGTTACCTTTATTGCAGGGAAGGGGAAAATTGAGGCCCAGAGACACTGGGTAAGGAGCCCATACCCTTCCCCATCGTGTTCTGCTACACAGCTTTCCAGAGCAATGGCCAGCCTATGATTTAGAAGATGCATGGCTTCTCTTCCAATTTTATTGGAGACCCCGTTGGCTTGTGGTTACAAGTGCTGTGCTCCCCGTTGACCACCAGGGGGTGACCGCACTGCAAACGGGCCTCCACACAGATTTCCTGCCCTCAGGTTCCCGGAGGAAACTACTTGGGAGGGAAGCTACTTGCATTTCTTTCACAGCCCAAAGACATTT